TGTGGTTATTAGTACACAAAAGTTATAATTAACTAAAAGTGTAGCAAAGATATAACTTATAATTTATCATCAACTTTATTGATCTTTTTACTGTACCATACTCGGTTTTAATAAACAATAGGAAAGTTCATTCAGCAAATAGAATTAGTTTATATTAGAATTGTTATTTCTAAATGTTTTCAAACTTTTCTATTTAATGGGCAGGTTAATTTATTATATCACTTTTGAATTAAACGTCTCAGCAAGTTAATTTTTGAAAGTAATGTATATTAATAATCATTTTTAACTACAGAAATTACAAGAATTCACACCATTAAAATAAAACTTGTAAGTATTGGTTAGATCATTTTGGCGCAAGTATTACATATGTGTATCTATTCCTTGTAGGTCTTACATAGAGGTTCATTTTTTGGTGATTTTTGTTCAAAGTGAACAAATTTTCGTCCAAACTAAATTAAAAAAGGGTCACGCTTTGTAGAGTTGTTTATTTAATTAAATGAGTTGTTACACGAATGCATGTGTTAATTTTCTGAGTTTTTGTATAGAGGATACAATTTAAAATGGTTTATTGATAAAAAAAATATTAATAATACATGACATATATAGTTTTTTTTTTATGAAAACATAACACACTTATTTCATTTGAATTACTAGAAATATAATTTAAATTCATAATTAAAATAGGCTACTCTTATTTCAAAATTTAAACCCAAATTGATATAGAATAAAATTGGATTAGTAGATAAAATGGAATTTGCATATCTTTTGTTAACATGATAATGAAAGAACATATACCCATCAAACGTACTAAGTTTTAGTTGATTGTTAATCACACATGAGTATGTACGCACACCTACTTCAATTATAAATAATTTATACGATCTTTTTATTTCACTACTGTAATTATTTTGCAAACTAGAGTATAATATAATAAAGTTAATTAAAAAAAACAAGCTTTTATCTCTAAATTTAAATTGAAGTATTAATCGTCCTCACTCACTACTAAATAAGCAAAACATAACGACATAAAAATCGTATTAAAACGTAGCACCCTTAAAATCCATATCTTAGCGTTGAAATTATAATGCTAATATTACATATATTTTTTTATTAATTTTAATAAAATATAACTTTATTAGTAGTAAAAACAGTATGTGAAATCCTGAAAATGACATGTGGAAAGGAGTGACAGATGTAAGAACTGAGAAATTATCAAGGTTTGAAGTGTGTAGGTGTGTGAGAATAATGAGACCGAATATTTTTGTAATAAAATAATATTACTATATGATGAAAGATGTAAATACTGATCCCATTTTCTGATACCACTCTTTCTCTAAGAAACTTCTTCTCTCTTCTTTTATACTCCATCTCTCTACAATTATCTTCATTCTCTCTATACAAATTCTCACCTTATTCTTCACCAGATCAACAATCAGGACGTGCCTAAGCTTTTCTGGTGACAAAAGCCTCTCTTTTCATCCATCAAGTTACTGTTTTGGAATTGGTAAGTTAAATTCCTTTGTCCTTTGAAGTTCTACATTTCCTGTTACATGCAAGCACTATAACTTGCATGTGTCCATCAACTACTCTTTTGGGTCTAATTCTTAGTTCTGGGGTGGGTGAATGTTGTTTTCTCAACCATCCAAAGATTTGTAGGCGGTGATTGTGCATGTGGGATAGCCATTTCAGTGAGAGGTCTTCCTTCGATCCGGTTAAGAGGTAAGGGAAGCTAGTAATTTAATTACGTTTTCTGTATTGGAATTGGTTGTTTGAATGTATGCATGTATGATTGAATGATTTTGTTGCTGATTTGTGTGTATGATCGAGATCTGTGAACCGTTTGGTTTCTGCTGATATAATGTTTGGTATGTTCTTGGTTGGAGAAAGTGAATGAGTGAAATTAAGAAGTTGAAGCTAAAAATAAAATTAGGTAATGAATTGTGTCTACGCATGTTTAGTTAGACTTGTTAGAGCCTTTAAGTTCTTCTGTAGGGTATGAAAAGTGAGAAATCTGACTTTGGGTCCTTAGGTTCTTATTTTGTGTAAATTGAGGTGAAATCTGTCATGAAACTCTTTAGTTTGGTGTTTTTGAAGTTTAAGTATATCTGCTTAGGTGTGAATTGATATATGATTAAAGTTTTGAGGATTTGAAGTTAGCCAAAGTGTTTAGAAATAGTCATGTTGGGTGTTGTTCATAATTCTGCAGAAGTTCTGCAGAATGCTGAAATGGTTAGTGTTGACTGTTCAGCCTTGTTCTGCTCTCGGTCATAACTAGGTCAGTCTCTTTAGAGACTTTCCAGTTCATGACTGTTTGGGTTCTTAAAGAGTGTTCGGTCGTAGACTGGTACTCGGTTTCTTAAAGAGTGCTCGGTTTGTACTGACACTCGAACTTCTGAAGAGTGCTCGGTCTATACTGACACTCGGTATCTCGAAGAGTGTTCGGTTGGTACTGACACTCGGCTTCTTGAAGAGTGTTCGGTTTGTACCAGCACTCGGTCTTAATAGTGCTCGGTCTTGTACTAGCAATCAGTCTGTAAGTGTGTTCAATTTAAATTCTATAGTGTACGGCATAAGCCGATAGTGTTCGACCTAGACCAATAGTGATCGATCTAAGACAATAGTATTCGTTCTAAATCATAAGGGTTCGGTCTAAGATTTAAGTGCTCGAGTTTTGGCTTTAGTATTTGGTTGTTTAGTATTCGACCCTAAATTCGTGTTCGGCTTATGCTTGAGTCTTGCTCTTTAAATGACCGTTCGATCATGATCATATGGGTAGTGATTTTTCCGTCCGGTCTTGTTCATAAAGATTTGTGGATCTTTTTGTTCGGTCGTTCTCAAGGGTGGTGTTGTTTTACTATTCGATTTGTATTATATTGAAATGAAGAAGTATGATGGCATTACAATATGATGTGATTTGTATTATATGGATATGAAGAAGTATGATGGCATTACAATATGATGTGATTGTATTATATGGATATGAGCGAGTGTTCCAAGGAGGAATATCTCAGAAATGGTTATGGAATTGTAAAGTATGAATATGGTCAGACTAAACTGTCATTCATCCTGACATTCTAATGGTCACCGAGTCTCAAGTAGAGAATGGTGGCGCATGTGGTGAGAATAGCAGGAGGCTTGGTTGCGTATAGCTTGGGGTTCCAGCTATCAGACTAAAGGCTTGGTTTTCCAACTACAGTGAGGGATGAAGGGCTAACCTCGTGTGGCGGCTTGGGTTTCCAGCTATGGTAATTCTGATGGCTTTCCAGATTACCTTTCCACGAGTGCAAGAATGTCGTAGCTACATAATTCATACAGTTCGGACAGTCAGAGTGAAAAGTGGTCGGGTATAAGATGCTTATATGAGTTCGGTAGATGTATGATTGTTTATATGTTGGTATGAATTGTATGCTTACATAGTTAATTAAATTACACTAGCTTACATTTATTTTCATGTCTTGTCATGTTGTCTGTTCGGTCGTCTTTGTCCTTGCAATGATCACCCTTTTGGGTGTGAGCAGAGTGTAAATAAGATATTCTGGAGCAGGCGCTGGCAGGAGATGAGGGTTTTCACTAAGAGTAAGTCCGTTCGGTCTTGTACTTGTTTTTACTTTTAGTATAAGACCGTTCAGTGTAATATACTGTTTGTATGACCGTTCGGTTGATACACTTCTTGTATGACTGCTCTTATTATTTGTATTAGTATAGGTTTATGTAAATTTTTTAATTTATAATTATTTTAAGATAACGCTAAATTAACTTTATTTTATATAACTGTTTTATTGTAAATATAAGAACTCTTAAGAATAGTTTACATTTATATTTTTAGTTAGGATGTTACACAAAAAGTCTTAAGTTTAAATTTTACTGTTTTTATTGTATATTAAAAACGTATTACTATTGTTATTGTGTAGTTGATAAGACATCTACAGTATTTGTACCTTCAACTTTGTTTCGTCAAAACGACAAAATCAATGCTCTGCCTTACCTTGCGCACCATTGCAACTCGAAGATTCTGGACATTGTCAAAATGAACACCATCATGTCATCAATGGAACAATTTAATTCATTTTCATGGTACACCAATTAATTATAAATGGGTAAACTTTTGTAACAAAAAGTTCATCTCACTTTTTCAACTCTAGAAAGAGAAGAAAACTTACACATGGGTAATATCTGTAACTAGTACGAACGATAATTCTTCCTAATGAATAAACATCCCTAGGAAGATAGAATTAGATAAATTGATACCCATTTGGTAAAAATATCTTCATCTAACTCTGAAAAATATCACTCAATTAATGCGTGAACAGTGAATGTTCATAAAATCTAATTTGATTCCTTTAGTAAAAATATCTAAATTCAACTGTAGAAAAAAGATCTTCTTGTTGTCCAAAATTGATAAATGCTCTTACTAATGACAATTACAACATTAAATTCTTAGATAAGATAATAATCCTTCCTAAAAGGAATAAAATAACACTAATAGTAAGTTTTGGACAAAATATTTAATATAACCAACTTTTTCCTACTAAACTTATCCTTGTCAGAAAAAAGTAACACTCACTGATAAATAAAAAAGGGCGAAAAAAAAAACACTCAACGAGGAAAACCATCTTTTTCCCTACACATTTTTTAAACTTTGTTCTCTGAAATTATTAAAAAGACTGAACTCCAATCATTTCCATATTAAAAATATCAGGGTTTCACTTTTCATTCTTACACAATCTTGCATTTCTGTCTTATAATATAGTTTAAAATGGGTATTAAAAAAACAGTATTTTTATGCCATCACATTATAAAAACAAAATGACTGTAATTTTAGACACCAACACAGAATCTAAGTTCCACCTAAGAGTGATGCAATGTTAATTTTTAGAAAACACTGTTTCCCTTTCACACTTTGAACTTTTTCCATCTGGTTAATTACATCGTGTCTCACATGATTATCTTACGCCAGCCAATCTAATATGTGCAAGATACACAAGAAGAAGAGAGAAAAATTGCCAGAATTCCGATCTCTTTGATCCACTAACTTTGAAGGGATTAAAAGGTACAAAAGTAAAAAGAAAAACTAATAAATACAGAAATTATGTTCACGGCAAGAACCCACTGTCAGAGTGGTGGCTATGGTGATGATTCGCGTGATTACCACTTCCACCGCCATCACCGTTGTTATTACTGCAATTACTTATCGAAGCAGCATTGCTGTCTTCTCTGGACTTTAATTCGGGCTCGCTGGCGCCGCTTCTTGAGGCGGTGGCCGGAAAGCGGCCGCACTTCTGACACCTGGCGACGGCGAGGACCTGGCGGCAGGAAGGGCAGGAGGAGTGAGACCCCAGCCACCTGTCGATGCAGGACACGTGGAAGCCGTGGCCGCACTGCGGAAGAACACGAATCTCGTCGCCGGGGGCGAAATCACCGAGGCAAATCGCGCATTCCGTCGTCGCCACCCACTTGCTCGGGTTGCTGTCCACGTACGCGAACCTCGGCAGCGACTGCAGCACCTTCTTCTTCAACCCCTTGTTCACCACCGCTTGCCGCGGCGAGTTTCCTCCACCCGGCCCTCGCCGTAGCCACGCGCACCGCGCCACGGCTACCAGTCCCACCACGCAGATTAAAGCGCACAGGAGAGCCGCCAGAATCACCACGAAATCGGACTCCAGGGCCACCGCCTCCGGCGGCGGAGCCGCCGCTGCAACAGCCGTGGCGTTGTCGGCAGATTTGAGAATTCTGAGCATGCGCGTCATTTGGGTTAAGAAAAAAGGTTTTGAATTGAAAGAATAAGAGTGAGAGAGAAAAAGAAGAGAAAGAGAGAGTGAAGTTTTGGGTTTTGGGTTTGGTGAGGAATTGGGAGGGTTAAATAATTGAGGTAGGTATTAATAGGTTGCATTGATGGAGGGTTTGGGGTTGATAGTGGAAAATATTGGGGTTAGTGCGGTTGAGGATAAGGGATTAAGGGTTGCAAGAAGACTTGAGTCAAGATCATGACTAGAAAGAAGGAAGATAGAAAGAGAAAGATGAAGCGAAGGACTTCTTTCTTTGTTTGGTAGGTACAACAATGTGGCCCCTTCTGCAAGTGGCCCAGGAGCTAAGGGACAAAACTCCACATAACTTAACCCTTCCCCAATGCTTCTTCCCTTATCCCTTAAGCCCTATGTTTTCAAAAACAATATTACTTCTTTTCCCTTTTTATCTCATCTGATTATCACTGTAATTGTACTGTGGCAGATCACTGCGAGTCCCCGCATCGAACCACGTGACTACAAGTAAAACCATTTAGTGGTATTTAATATTTGAATTGAAGAATAAAGTAAGATATTATTTATGATAAAAAGGGAGAAAGTTAATTTTAAAGGGATGGAGGAAATATATTCGAATCTGGAGCTGGGGCATTTAAAATTGGTGCAGCCCAATTAAGGAAGAGAGAGATTAATTTTTAGCCAATTGCGGCAAAAGGTTTAAAAGGTGGGAGTTTGCAGCTGTATCTTGGCATCCTGATTGTGTGATCAACTTGTGGGCGTTCAAAACCACAAGTTTACCTTAGTTTAGAGTTCTTAAAAAGAGTGCCGATAATGTAAAATAAGCAATAGTTGTACGTAGCAAGTGGCCCTTTCTCACTCTCTTTTCGTGTTTCTTGGAACAAAACATAAACTACTCAGTACACAACACAACAAAACACTCTTCTTTCTGCCCACTTGACACTGCACGTTTACGCTGCAGGTACACACTCAACAAAACCTATTTTTACGTATCTATTCCTTATTCCTCAAGCTTTCTGTCCCTTGTAGTTTCCTCACTCTGTTTCATTATTATTTCATGAATTTACTCCTAAAACCAAATCCAATAATAAAAAATTTATAGGTTTTTGTGATTTGTTTTATGTATATGAAATATGTGTACATGTTAACATCAGAAGAAGATCACAGATTCTGAATACAGGTGGAAAGTATTGCGCTTTAGAGAAAGTTGATGTAAATGTGACCTGAAATACAGGGTGTTGTTTTAACGAGTAGAGAGATGTCTAATCCCAACACTAATCCACCCCTTCTCTTCAGCCAAATTCGGTTTCTCATGCAAGGAATTTTTTTTGCCCCTTTTTGCTGGGAGAGAAAGAAAGACACTTTAAAAGAGGGTGGAATTGATTGGACATAAAAAAATGTCCCCGTAATGGGTTGTGTATGTTTGGCAAAAATTATAAACCTATGGGTATATGGTAACTTAACATAATGTAACATGAAGTTGGAGCCCTGACAAGAAAGAAAGTGGGAAGGAGGTGAGAATTTGAAGCAGTGCGTCTTTTGAAGGGTTTGTTTTTTTAGTAGGCTTTTGTTTTTTGGTACTTTGGTTATGGCACTAAGACTCGTTAAACATGTGCAAGTGTCTGCGAGGGTGGGGAGGGTGGGGGCAAGGTCGGAACAACCTTTTACTTCTTCACAACATTTGTTGCAGAATAATAATAATAATTATTTGAATAGTTAATGATGTTGCAACTCCAAATCAATGATTGACAGGGAGTGAAGCAACGTGAGTCCCATTATTTGTTTCTGAATTGGGCAGTGGATGCGTGACAGTGCAGAAAAAGCAGCATCGTTTCCTCTTTCACCATGTGTCCTTCGGTACGAAAAATACCAATAATAAAAAAGATGTTTGATATATATATATATATATAATATATATATATATATTTTTTTTTTTTTTGTTGGAGTTAATAGTTCCATTGCATGATGGAGGGAACTCATTGGTGAAGGAAAAGGGTTGGCGCTTTCTCAGGAATGGGCAAACAGAGATCCATGAAGGAAGAAACACCAAGGAAGATTCAGCAGAGCAGAGGGTGTAAGTAAATAAGAAACAAACAATGTTTAGTCATAATAGGTCAAATTCAATATTTATTTAATTTCTTCTTTTTAACAAACAATAAATATATAATGGATTTGTGGATTTAAAATTAATTAGTAGTGAAGTGAGGAGATACTTTTTGAAGTTAAACTATGTTTAAGTATAATAATATTGTGGTATAGTAAAGAAGGTGGAGCTTAAAATTAGGATTTCGAATCATAGTCTATACTATATATAATGCTGTAAATCATGAAAATTTCATGAATCATAATTATATATTTTGAAGGTTTTTTTAAGTTCGGTGTAAACTTGTAATATGCAGGTTTGTTTAGAGTTTTGTTTGTTTGTTTCCAAACTAGGTTTTTTTCATAAAAACTTCTCCATTTGATTTCATTTTTTATTTTTTCATTACTATTTTTTTTGTATGTTTATGTCCAAACGTTTGTCATTTCTTTTCTATGCATCTAACAAACTTATTCTCTTGTCTTCATCCTGATTTTCATCAGTGATTTGATCTTTTTCTTCTAGTTTTCTCGTCCGATCACTTATGCAAATATGTATTCCAAAGTAAACTTTGTTAGCATTTGTATTATCACGGTAGACAATTGTTTATTTTCTTTGTAATTTGTCAGTTTAGACAATACGTTGATCCTGACACTTTCTTTTGAGGTATATGTTGGTTGTCGACTGCTTCAAAGTCTTTTATTAGCTGAGTAGCTTTATGATGATATTGGAAGAATTCGTCATCTTCCAATTGAAATGTTCCCTTCATCTATCTGACAACAAATTGGGAGTCAATCTTACAATCAATGTTACAAGCTCCCATATCCTTTGTTAAGGCTAGGCCGACTATCAAGGCTTCATATTCCACCTGGTTGTTAGATATATTAAACTTGAATACTAGGGAATCATCCGCCCTTCTTATCAGACAATCTGTCAACATAAAGTTTCCATGTTTGATTTTGATGGTCGCCTTGACTTGTCAAACTCTGACAACTCCATGAACCAGCTGACTATCGACCGGCTAAGTCAAGTTTTCTCAAGATCTTTGCAATTGGGTGGTTTGTTCGAAAAAGCACTTGATACCTCTAAAAGTATGGCCTTAATCGTCTTGTCGTTGTTAATAATGTCAACACTACCTTTTCAATTTGTTGGTAACACGTCTCAGCATCCTGCAAGACCCTGCTAAAGAAATAAAGAAGATTTTGTTCAAGAATTTCTTGAATCAAGGCTGCACTTATGGCTTCCTCCGTTATCGCCAAGTATACTTGTAGTTCATGTGTAGTGACCAGTCAACACATTACAAGATGGCTAGCCAATATGGTCTTTACTTTAGTGAAGATAGTCGCGCCGATCGTCCCACTTTTCAGAGGTTTGTTTCTTCACTATTTTCAGGATCAGTTTGAACTTCCCTACTAGTCTAGAAATTAATCTTGAAAGGGACGTCAGTCGACCAACAAGCCTTTGCACTTCCTTTAAAATTTGTGTGCTTCTCATCTTCAAAATGGTGTTGTAGTTATTTGGATTCGATTATATGCCCTGAGCGGTGAGCATGAAGCCTAAAAATTTACTTGTTCCTACCCCAAAGATGCAGTTGTAGGGGCTTAACTGCATGTTATACTGCCACATTTGTCCAAATACCTTCTATAAATTATTCTCATGCTTATTGACCGACTGAGATCTCACAGTAGTTTCATTGATATAAACTTTCATGCAGCTCCCAATCTAGTGATGAAAAATCTTATCCATGAGGTATTGATAGGTTGTCCTATTACGTTTTTCACACCGACATAACCCCATAACAATAGTTAGAACGTTTAGTGATAAACGCAATTTTGTTCTTTTGTTTGTTCTTTTTGATGAATAAATTTGTTTATTCTTTTTTATTCTTGTTATGATTTATTTTTATTTATGTCTTTTGCTTCTTAATAAAGTAAAAGTAATGATTTTTATATTATAACAAGTTAGCATGATGTTAAATCTACATAACATATCAATCATATGAGTCTAAGGATTTTTATTTTCAATTGAGAATTACTCTCATTAAAGTTAGAAACTTTCATGTGATTGAATGAGTTTTTGCCAATAATTGAGAATGTACTTTGATTAGTGGTAAAAGCTTTAGTAAGAATTAATCAAGAATGTACTTTGGTTAATTAGTTTTTTACTTGATATAAGAGGTAAAAGAATAAACATGATTAGGCGGAGTAATATTTAATTGAGAATGTACTTTGGTTAAATTTACTATGACTAATCTACTAAGTTATTGCTTTTAATTGAGAATGTACTTTGGTTAAGAGTGAGAACCCCAACAAATTAATTGAGAATTTACATTGATTAATTTAAAAATCTAAGACAATAATTAATTGAACAATAGTATTTAGATAACCAATGATGAATCCTATTTTGAAAAGGAGTGAAATCAACCTATTTTCTTTATCATTGTTTTTCTCTTTTTAAATATTTTTATAAATTTATTTTTTTATCTATATTTTGTTATTTTGTTCTTTAATCTTTTAGATCTTTATATTCTTTATTGCTTGTTTTATTAAGCCTTTTGTATAGTTTTTATAAGAACTAATGTGTTAAGAATTATTTTCGTGTTCGTTAGGAGATGGCTTAGGGTTGAATTTATTCTTTTTATTTTGTTGCCTACTATCTTAGCAATACTGAAGTTGTTATAGTTTAGTAGTACTAATTTGATTGCGTCAACGACAACGTTATCACTTCTACGAGTGACTGTTGAGGATTCGCCTCCCATGAATTCCCAAGAGATTATACTTATATGCCCCTTGAGCAATCAATCTTTGCTTTGACTTCGACTTTTGCATCGGGATGGTTCTCTACGGCAGTATGTTCTCGACTCCCATAGAAAAACTTCATTTAGGGTTATGCATACGAGGGGGGCTCGACTATACCCACTTGGTTTTGACAAACTTCTTCAAGTGTCCCACATCGAATCAACTCTTCAATCTTTTCACGTAAGGTTGTGCATTCTTCTGTTGTATGCCCGAAGTTCTTATGGTATAGGCAATGCTTATTCCCATCAACATTTGGAGGAGTGGGCTTCCTCCTGCAAATAGGTATTATCTCAACGCTAAGAGTTTTTTCAAGTATATTCGCTCGGAGTGTGTTGAGAGAAGTATACTAGTAAAATCATGGCCCTTAGACTGCATCCTTGGATTGTGCATCACTCTCTTTACCATGTGGTTTTTTT